AGTTCAACCAATAAACTGTAGGACCTGCTCCTGATTGGAGGAGAGCAGCGTACTCGGCTTTGTGGGTAGCAGAGTTGGGATTGGTGGAAGAGGACTATAAAGGAGGAGAGAGACGGCATGCACCAGGAACATCTAAGAGGAACATCTAAGAGGAACACCTGTGCAGCCCCTGAGAGAGCCGGCCGGCGGTGTGCCGCTCCCCCGCGGAAGTGGGGAAAGTGGCTAGGGGGAACCGCCCTTCCACGGAGGTGGAAGGGTCGGTAGCCAACCCGGGAAGAACCAGCAGCAAACCCTGGGAGGGCCGAGCAGACGAAAGAACAATGCAGGGTCCTGTGTCGTTCCTCCACGAAGACGGGGAGCGACAGTAAATCCTCCTTATTGATTTGCTGGCAAGGGTTGCATATATAATCTTTGCAATTAGTAAACCTTAGAAGTTTAACAAACACATTTTAACGTAGTGCTGCATTTACCTGTAGTAAACCTATAGGCATTTTAATAGTCAAGTAAAAGACAAAGGATTGAGACTCCAAAAGCTGCCATAACTTTTCAAGGTCAAATACTGAAGACTTTCTTTTTTTTTTTTTTTTTTTAAGATTTATTTATTTGTTTGAAAGGCAGAGTTAGAGAGAAGGAGAGTCAGACAGATCTTCCAACCACTGGTTCGCTTGCCACAATGGCCAAAGCTAGGCCAGTCCAAACCCAGGAGCCAGGAGCTTCCTTGGGGTCTCCCACATAGGTGCAGGAGCCCAAGTATTTGGGTCATTCTCCACTGCTTTCCCAGGTTCATTAGTGGGGAGATGAATCAGAAGTAGAGCAGCCAGGACTCAAACCAGTGCCCATATGGGATGCCGGCATCACAGATGGCAGCCTTACCTGCTGTGCCATGATAACAGTCCCCTTTCTTTGCCTTTATAGTATTATCCATTACTATGAATATGCCTTGAGAAATAAAGGATGCTCCCCCTGCTGCGGTGAGCTGCTGTAATAATATGGTTGTAAGGCCCATGACAAATTCTTCATTAAAATGTTCTCTCACAAGCCCTTCCTCAAAGTGATTTGATATTTGCCAATCTTGTAAAATATCAGAATGCATATCATTATTTTCATTTTCCAGGCATGGATTGAAACAGAAAAATTTCAAGAACTGAGCAAGATGCCACTGATGCCAAAATTGGCTAAGACATTCTGCTCCTTGAAATCAGAAATGAATAGAGGAACACAATTTCAGCTGATAATCAATATGGGGGGAATTTTATCACCTGCTGATACTGTATAATGAACATGGAATAATTAATTTTCTTGAAATTCAATGAAAGTTCCTCCTCCACCTGTGGGTAGTATTTTGCTGCACAAAAGGGGGAAATGATACACCCCTAAAGCATTTAACTCCTTTGTGGTCTGCTTTTTCTTTGAGAAAGGGGGATATTTGTTTTTGCTCTGCTTTCTTTAAAACACGCTCAAGGTGAGACAACAACTCTTTTGAAAACGTCAGCTAGGCTGGGTCACAGTTCTACAGAAGTATGCACAGATTCTGTCCTGTAACACACAGCATCTCAGTGACCACCTGCATGTATGACAGTTGTCATATAAGATGGAGGTGAACTACTTCTGTCCTCTAGTGATGCTGCAGTTGTCGTATCATATCACATGTGCCACTCATGTGTCTATGGTGATTTTGGTGTACATAGACCTGCACTGCCAGTCATATAAAAGTATGTAATCATGTAGAGTACAGAATACTTGGTAATGTTAATAAATGCCTACGTCACTGGTTTACGTCTTTATTACATTTTTATCATTATTTTAGAGTGCATTCCTATTTTAAAAATCTTTGCTGTAAAAAAGTGTGCTATGTTGTGCTGCCAGCAGCCTCATGTATCTTGTGTTTGCATCAAGAGGACACACCAAGGGGAGAGCGTTTGGTGCAGTGGCTAAGCTGCCACTTGGGTAGCCACATCCCATCTCAGAGTGCCTGGATTTGAGTCCTGGCTCTGCCTCCGATTCCAGCTTCCTACTAATGTGCGTCCTGGGAGGCACTGAATGATGGCTCAAGTACTTGAGAGACCTAGATTGAGTTCCAGACTCTTGGCTTTGGCCTTGTCTAGCCCTAGCTTTTGCAGGTATTTGGGGAATGAACCAGTAGATGGAATATCTGTGTGTCTATCTGTCTCTCTGCCTTTGAAATAAAATCAAAATAAATTTTTAAAAAAGAAAACATCAGCTAGGAATAATTAAATTCTTGGGCAAGATTAAGCAATCAGATTAGTCCTATATATAACACAAGAAAAATGTCTTGGGGAAGATCAAGTTTTTCCAAAAACAAAATTCATTTTTAAAAAAACTAGAATATGTAATCCAATCACAAAATGATTTTTTTTAATTTGGATTTATGTCATTGCTTTAGTAGGTAGTGTTAATAGTTTCCAAATGCCAGTGTGTATTCAAGAACACTTAGCAAGTTCATGATGTAATACATTCCTTTTTGGATACATCTTGTGTCAAACCCATCTGTCTATGGCAGACATGCACAGTGTTACCAAAGCTTATCTGTAAAAGAATTTCCACAGTCTGACAAAAATTGTTTCAGAAAATAGAGAGTAGAGAGAAGATCACTGCCTGCCATTTTAGAGAGATTGTCCTCTGCCCACAGTGGCTCACTCACAATACACTGCCCACAGAGCACCTGCTGGCCCTGGACTCCACTTCCTCATGGCCTGTCCTTGCCCAAGAAAGACGCAGCCCTGGCATCTCCAGGAGAACTGAGGAGCTGAAAGTCCCGAGGAAGCACCAATACAAAAGTAAACAGTCTATGCACACATACACCCGCCCAGGTGCCACAGCCCTGATTTTCATTCTTCTCCACACTGCATAAGCAGCCCAGCACTGATGGCTAACAAGCAGTAGTCACTTTCCTTCAAATCCAGTAAATGAAAGCCTAAGCGCGGTCATGTGAAGAATGGAGCCAGGACAGGATGGGAGGGAGGGAGGGAGTGCTGCACCAAGAAGGCAAGACTGAGGCTCAAAGGCCGGGAGCTGAATTACAAGTCAAAAGCAAGTTACGATAAGGCAACTTTCCCCCGCGACCATCACTCCTTACTAGTGGGTGGCCCTAAACCACCTCGAGGGTAAGATTATAGTCCTTTTATAGATGTGCTTTCTCCACCACAGTTAGGAATGCATACCAAGAATGAGTCAGCTGTTACTACTAGTGTCTATGGCCATAGAAACTCAATAAATGAACTCGCTATTCTGTCTCAATAAAAGAACCATTGTACCATTTCATCTAAGGTAGGTTTCTAAAAGAATATATTATACTTGCATTTCTTTAGAACTGTTTTACACAGATCTGGTGGGTACAGAAAAGGATTTGATGTTGATTAATTTTCTTTTTTCTTATAGACTTTATCCACTATTGTAATCTAAAAGAGATTGTAGTTCAGAAAGTGAAAATATTGTTAAGAACAAAACTTTGCATTTCCAGTGCAATCTAAACATAAAACTTTGCCAACCCATAATAAGATTTGTTTCCTGCTAGCTAAATCATGTCAGTCATTTAAATAGGTACAAACAAAAATAAACTGTCTTGAGTCTTTAAATGTTAGTTTTATAGGAATTGGCAACTGATTATTATGGCCATTAGAAGTTTATAATTGCTACAGGAGCTCATCATGACAAAAACTGCTCAACTGATTTATTCTTGTGATATGAACAGACATTTATACCTTCCAGTCTGAGGAGGAAAAATTAGACAGAAAGCAATGTGAAAAACAATCCCAGATTGTAAGAAATGCCCTAGCTTTGCACCGTACTGAGAAAAAGTACAAGTAGTATTCGGGAGAGAGAAGAAATATTCCTAAGCACTAATTTCATAAGCAAAAGTCTTTTTTATCACAAGCTAGGAGAAATCAATACAGATTTAAAAGTAAAATATGAACTGGTGACATTTACCCGTCTGTACCCGGCACTCCTGTCCTGCTGTGCATGCTATAGAAGGTAATAAAACAGTCATGGGCTTTACTTTCTCATTTCAATCCACTCCAGCTTTATCTTAAACCTTGTTAGCAACTAATGTCACCCCCAGCGAATACACAAACCTAACCGCGGCTTCCTGAGATAATTTGATCTGCTCCAACCACAAATTCCAACCCACATACTTTCTTCTGTTACGCTGTGTCTGTGAGTATTTAATGTACTTCTTATAAGGATTTTCAAAACAAGCCCATGGTTTCTCATTCATTGCTGGACCACATAAACAGAACACCAAAGCACATTTTTGTACACACATTCTTTTTTAGCTGTTCATCGTCTACATCTTAAATCAGCTTCAGGTTACAATAAAATATTCCTGCCGTCATTTTCTTTTTCTTTTCCTTTCCCATACACTAACTGCTGTGCACCTGTGTCCCAAAAGGATTAATGTTCATTTGCTGCCCATGCTCGTTTTGCTTGGTGGGGGTGGGAAACCTGGCAACCCACCGAACTCCACAGCTCTCTGAGCCGTTGCTCTGACACCAGCATCCTGTTTTAAGCTAATCATGTTGGATTTTTATCACTTTACTGACCCCATAAAACAAGCAGGACTAGCAAATGCATCCAACAGCCTCCTCCAATGCAGTGTGATTGTGATTCATAGCACAAAGCTGGAGAGCGGGGGGCAGGGGAACAGAAAACCTGCCAGGTCTCATCGCATTGAACTTGATAACAGACAGCACAGCACCTTGAAAACGAATCATCTGCTAGTTCAGTCTTTTCTACAAACGATCTCACTCCCTCCCAGGGCGTGTAATTAATTTACTGAGTTAAAAAAAAAAAAAAGTCAGGATTACTCACACAGTCTTGAAGATGCAATGTCAGCTATTTAGGACAGAAACATCCAAGGCCGTGCTAGCACTCAGTTACGACTGCACGTGCATTAAGACAGGAACTGGCAGGCCCCAGACCACGCAACCATAGGCTCGTGCTTCCCCAGCGCGGGGCTATAATCTCTGAAACCGAGCCCCAGACCCAGCCAATCACTTAGCTCCTCATAACAAGTCTAACTGGCTCTGGGAAGCTGGAAGGGCTGCGCTGGAACACATAGATGAGATATTCCACACAATAATCTGCTTATCTGGAATCGCTTTGCCTGAAGAGGCCAGAGGAAAAAGCACAGCTTCATTGTCTCGGGGCAAGAGGTGCAGGTGATCTGGGATCAACGCGGCCGCACCTGGAGCAGGATATTTTCCTGGCTTGGCAATTCCGACCGTGCCGGCAATTAAAGGACCAGAGCCAGCCCAGCCGCCAAAGGGCAACTCCGGCAGCCAAGGCTGAGGTAACGTTCGCCTTTCCCTTTTATTTTTAGTAGGAATAACGCCGAGTGAAAACGAGATGCATTCAAGCGCTTGGGCCAAGAGACAGCCTTCGATTTCATTTTACCTCTCTCTATTCTATCCTTCTCAAGGATGGCCCTGTTATTAAGTCGGAGCAGACAGAGGCTTGAATGGATCTGAAATAAACTTGGAACTAAAGTGAGAGAATTTTCCAGAACAGTTTTAGAGCGACCTTTCCAGATAGGCAGCTTTTTCACCCACCCCCAGAAACCCAAGTGCTGGGGCTGCCGTGGGGAGGGGACGGAAGGGGTCCCGGGAGCACAGTTAGACGCCTTTCATGTCTGAAAAGGCAGTAACAAGTCCCAGAGCACATGAGGAAGAGGAGTTGCTTGCCCAGCTCCCTCGGCCCTTGGCACTGGGGCCATGGAAGAATGTTCCATGGAGGGAGGGTTCAGGCAGAGGAGCCTCAGAATCCTAAGAGAGTGGGCAGTGGCCCAAGTTTCACCTAATTTTTTTTACAAGATTTTCCTAATTTCTCATTACATTTTAAATACTATTTATATCAGCTGCTTTGGATAGCACACTTGCTAAATTTGCAGTTATTAAAGGATTTGTCGGTGAAATTTTTAAGTCTAAATTATCATACAAGTGACTAAAATCAGAAAGCAAAAAAATAAAACCGACATTAGCATAGACAGACCCCAACATTACACCCCTTTGATATTTCGACTTCAACTAATGACAGGTCCTCCGGAGCCCTCAGCAAAGTGTTTCTTTAACAAGTTTTGTAGCTAGTGTACCATAAAGAACAACAACAAAATCTCTGGAGTAAACGTCTCAAGAACCACATCCATCGTGGTGCTTGCAAAGTGACAAGAGAACCTACAGAATGTTGCATTTGTGCTGTTGGACTTGGGAGCTCCCAAAGGAAGAAGTGAGGAAGGAAAACTTGCTTTGTTTAGTGCTGAGATATTAACAGCGGTGATAGAGGAGACATTTACCCACTTCTTGCAGGCTGTAGGTAATTGACCAAATTCAACTTGAGATTTGACACCAAGAACAATAGAGCTGTGCACAGATTATAGAAAAAGTAATTCATTGGCAATTTCCTTCCAGCGTTTACTCTTCGGGTTGTCCAATTTGTGGCTAGCCAGGGAAGACTATTTCTGCTCTCTTTCGCTTTTTATTTCATTAACCTTTGTTTATTTGACAGCACTGCTGCCTATGGTGACCATGTGAGAATGGAAACTTCTCAGGAAGCCACTCGTTAGAATTGCTGTCTTTTTACTCACATTAACATAGATTATTTAGTCTGAAATGGAAAACCATCTCTTAAGGTAAAGTTGTCATTGAATTCTCAACACAGAACTCTTTGATACTCAGCTTCTTAATCAAATTCCATTAGAATGTCCTTGAATGCCCATGTCCAAATCTCTGTCAACAGTCAAGACCATGAATACTCTGGCACAGAAGTCATTTCACATGTATTCATGCCCAGAAGTTTCCCACAGGAGGACCTCACCTCCTACCACTCAAAGAAAACCATTTCGCTACTCCCCAAGACATGGCCAACAACCACCTACCAAGTCTTTGAGTTGAAGCTTCCATGGCATTTCTATTCTCTGTCAGCTCCCCACTTAGTTACCACCTGGCCCCCTGGCTCCCTGAGCCTTACAAAAACTAAACGGTTGTTTTTGACTGGACTTTAAGCTGTTCACCTGTCAGTAAGTTTCACCCGAGAACACATCCATGAAGTTCATGAAATACCAGAACTGCTTTCCCCTCTTAATCTTACTAGTCATGATACCTTGAGACATTTTATTGTGACTTGACGTTTGCTAGCGACTTTAATATGTAGTACCTGGAGTCCTCCCATAGCAGAGGAAAGCCCACACTGAAACTAAATAAGCAATGTCTCTTAACCATCCAACATGAGTCCACTATACTGTTTGCATTCAGTCTTTAGCCTATTAAAAACAAAGCAATGGAGGAGGAACCTGAAAATACATACACACCAATACTATCATCTTCTCCTGCCTAACGTTGTTAATGGAATGTGTAGTCTGTTCACAGCAGATAGGCACCCTTCTCAATTCCCCAGGACTTGTATTAGCAGGTTCTGGCTGGAGAGGCTCCCTCCTGTCAACACCATCAATTACTATTTGGTGGCTGTGTCATCCGGCTCTGTCTAAGAAGCTTATGGTATCCAAGGGTCACCCAAACAGCTGAGTTCAGTTCCTGCTCATACTTCCTTGATCTCAGCCCCACAGACAAGAATTAAAATGATCCTGATAAAAGTAACTAAAGAACGCAAATGCTTTGCTGAACCAAGAACTGAATCTCAAGTCTCACAGCAGCTATGGTTGACTAAAAAGTGTCCTAAAACCTGAGCCAAGGATGATTTCTGGGCCCATAAGCTAATTAGCCTGGCCCTGCAGTTTATGGAGCCAACCCTATGAGAAACCATAGGAAGCATCCAAACCCACCACGTTAGCGTGTCAAACCAATTAGGACTGGCAGGACCTGAGCTCCATTCCAGGCCACATGGATAAACAGGCCCCTTATTTTCACAATGCAAGACTCTGCCTAAAGAAACCCTAAACCCTGGGACCCGTTCCCTAGTAGGGAACAAATGACAATTCCAATGGCTATACTTGGAACCAGAACCTTCTGCTGTAAACTCAAAGAAAAATAGTTGCTTGGAAAAATGACAGCAAGAAGGCCTGCCTCGCCTTAACAAAAATGTTTTAATTGAAAATAAAAGGCATGGGACCAGACCTGTGGGTCTGTGGTAGCTGTAAGGATTAAGCTTCTTTCTTGGTTCAGATAAAACATGCTTTATTTGGGCACATGAGCTCAAACTCAGATTTGCTCTTGGCACATGGGGGGAATTTGGAGTTGATGAGGTTTTGTTACTGTTTAAATTCAGTCTCTTCTAAGAGCACAAACATTTGGAATCATGCTATAATGCATGTGAGAAGATTCTAACACCCATCACAACTTGTTGTACGCAGTATGTAGACATCTCCGTGCTGGGCCCCCACCCGAGCTCCGACCCATGAGGTCCTTGCATTTCTGTAACACTTGCTGACTGAGACAGGAGGCGGTGCTCTCACTCTAGCCGGGAGCTTGTCTGTGGGTGTATGAAGCTTCACACTTGATGTTACTAGAAGTTTTATCTTGCAAAAGTGCCCTATATTTCATTTTAAAGGCTTCTTTTAATTTTTCTAAACTGAAAATGTCCCCTCCCCGACCTACAGTTTTCCCAGTGGTTGTTAGTCCTTTAGTGCTAATTTATGCTGGTTCGTTCATTTACTCCGTGGAGAGGAGGATAAGGGGAGTCCAGGGAAGGAGAACATTTTCCTTGGACCTTACTGGGGTGCTGGGAGGCTGTGCAGAGAGAGGGGCTGCAAGTGCAGAAGCCCAGCTCTGTGTGAGAGCATGGACTCTCAGGAGCTGGAAGCACTCAGATGTGCCTGGTGGTGGTTTATGTGGGAGTGGAGGGAGATAAGGGTGAAGACCATTCACAAGCGGATGAATGAATGAATGAACGAACAACTGAGAGTGGAAGTCTACCCTGCTTTCCTCTCCAAGCAGACTTCTACTCTGCCCCCTCCCACTATGTCTAAGTCTCAGCTAATCGTCATTCCCATGATCCTGCCCTGGCAGAACGCATTAGGGGTAGAGAGTGTCCCGGGCTCAGGGGTGGGAGGTTTTCTGCCCCTGCCCCTCTGCCAGTTCACCCACAGAAGGGGATCCTGCGTCTTCCTCCCAGAGCCCACTTGTGCCACTGAGGTCCAGCACCTGCAGAACAGCCACAGTCCTGTTCTGTCACCAACGGGACAGTTACCCAGAACTATGTGTCCACTGCAAAGGGGGACATGGGAAAGGGGGAGAATTTTATGAAACAGGGCGTTCTGGATAGTGACTCTCAGGACTGAGATGTGGGGCTGGTTTATCTTTAACTCTTCTCCCACTCACTTCTGTCCCCTCCCCAGAAAGACAGTCTCCCTGTGTCCCCCGGCTTACTCTACCAAAGTGGCCACAAAGGGCCCCTCCCCGCCACCCCTCCCTGCAAAAGAACCGTTTTGTGTGCCTTCCCCAGAGCAGCAGAGTAAAGCAGCAGTCTGAATGCAGGATTAAATGCTCCCGCCATCTTTCAATGGCATTTCATTTTCATAGGGGCTTGCTAGAAAGAAAGCCAAGAACCAAGAAATAACCCACCAGTGAACACATCAGGCCTCATGGAGCATGACAACAACGATGTACAGAAGGCAAGCAGGGCTGGGAATCCACCGAGTTACCACCATCTCCTCCCCGGAGCAGGTCAGCCAGGGTGCACAGTTCTGTGCCACGTTCTCTGCAGGGGCTGCCACGCATGGCTACACAACTTTTACAACCACCCATGAGACCCAGCACTGTGGCTCTGTAAGCCTGCCTGCCCCCATCGAAGGCATAGGCCACCATCGAGCAAGGAAAGATTCCTCACTCCCTCACTCACCCACAAGAGTGGTAAATGCTGGCCGGCGCCGCAGCTCAATAGGCTAATCCTCCGCCTTGCGGCACCGGCACACCAGGTTCTAGTCCCGGTCGGGGCGCTGGATTCTGTCCCGGTTGCCCCTCTTCCAGGCCAGCTCTCTGCTGTGGCCAGGGAGTGCAGTGGAGGATGGCCCAAGTGCTTGGGCCCTGCACCGCCATGGGAGACCAGGATAAACACCTGGCTCCTGGCTTCGGATCAGCACGGTGCGTCGGCTGTGGTGGCCATTGGAAGGTGAACCAACGGCAAAGGAAGACCTTTCTCTCTGTCTCTCTCTCTCACTGTCCACTCTGCCTGTCAAAAATAAATAAATAAATAAATAAATAAATAAATAAAGAGTGGTAAATGCCACACACTGTCCCTCAAAAGCAGTTTAGCCATGGATGCATTTGTAATCAGCAGCAACTACAGCCAGTCGGGTGGCTCTGGGTCGCACGGTCCATAGGACTTTGTTCTTTTTGTTTATTTAGTTTTTGCCATGAGAATGAAATCACAGAAATCAGAGGAGTGGAAGGAAAACAGATTATGCGTGAGTCACATGTGCGCCATAAAACACTGTGGCTCTTGAACTTCATGAGTGAAAGGATTTCCCAAGGTGCTTGTTTATGGGGTAGCTCCCGGGCTCTCTCTACAGGACACTGATGCCATAGACCCGGCATGAAGACCAGCAATCTGCAGTTATGTGCCCACCTCCATCCCATCCCCATGCTTGTAAGTCAGTCACCCTCAGAATACTTCTTGAGAAATATCAAAACAGGGCATGCAAACTGCTTAACACAAAGTCTGGAATGTTCCAATTTCTCCACATTTTCTAACTATAATTATAAAGAATCAGAAATGGCCCCAAACCCATACATTCTACTTTGACTTGACTTATTGCTAAGTTAAGGCTGTACACAGGTGTGGCAGTGTGGTTGCAAGCCAGATGTTGTAGTGCAGGGAAGAGAAGTACAAAGATAGACACAGGCGAGGACAGGGACAGCCTTGCAAGAATTTTCAACCTCTGATGAGAACCACTGAGCCCCGGGTACTCCCTATTCCATAGCATCCATAGCTCCGAAGAGATGGACTATTTGAAATAATTACCTACAGACTAGAAAGTCCAAAAGAACAAGAACACTCAAGATAACTGTATTTTTCATTCTTTGCTTCAGACACAGAAAGCAAAGCCAAAGGTTCCTCGTTTATTTTGTAGAACACAGCAGATCCATGTGAACAAGGAGTTTCACAATGGCGGAGTCCAGCCGTGTTAGCTCCCTCTAGGAGCACCCAACTCCAAACCTGATTGGCTGTTGGGCTCCTCTGAGTCCTGGCTCTTCCCCTTTGCTGAGGATGTGGGTGGGCCCAGCAGGTCTACTCACCTCTTGGAATCACTCCTCCCGCAGATGGGATGCCCTTCAGGAAATCTTCTGTTTGGTTTGCATGCTCCTGAGGAGAGGACAAAGCTCTGTTGTTTAAGAGCATAAATAAAAAAAGCTTTGTTCTTCCAAACCCAGAGGGAAGCCGGAGATCTATCCAAAGTCACTGGGACTTCAACTGCCGGGGGATGACAAGAAGGAGATATTATTTTAGGCTGCCCATCAGCAGCAGTCACTCAATCGCCTCTCTTGGCTTCAGGAAACAATGACTCAATATGGCCTTTTTCTGACAGACTGCAGCCTTAGGAAAACACTGTTCCACATATTTGGAACGATGGCCCTTCCTGCATTAAAATAAATGGAAGCTATTCAAAGCCCACTTAGCTTTGAATCGTGGGCAAAGCAACACAGCTGTTTGTACTCATATAAGAAGAGAAAAATGAAAACTGTGAATGAAAAAGAGAAAAAAAGCTTTGTTGGTTTTTTTTTTTTTTTTTTTTTTGGTACTCCATTCCAGGTGCTTGACATGTGTTTGATTGCTTTATTTTCATAGTAACCTCCAAGAAGTCCATGTTATTATCCCCATTTTCACCAAAAGCAAGAAAGGTCATGTAACCTACCCTGAGAATACAGAGTTGACAAATGGCAGAACTGGGAGTTAAGTAAGAAAGGAAATTAAAACAGCCTCAAATTCTTCCTGTTCTGAGTTAAGTGAACAACCCACATTTTTTTATTAATACAACTTTATATAAATGGGAATATTCTGTTTCATACCCTGCTGTGTATCACTGAATAATTTCTCATGTCCATATATGAAGCTGTATGCCACCATTTTTAGTGACTATTCAGGATCTCACAGTAGGTATTTATCATATTTTACTATGCTGATCTCCTAGTGATAAACACCGAAGTTATTCCTAGTTTTCCCCATGAATATGCTTTTGTGAACAGTTATCTCCTAGGAGAAATGCTACACTGACAATTCTTGAGCAAACAGAAGATATCTGTTATGTTTCAGTAACTATCAGCCACCTGCCCTCCTAAAGGTTGTAACCGGTAGCTGCATAAGTGTTAAACAGACACCCCAGGTTTAACCATTAGCATTTCTGCCAAACTGACAGGGAGGGAATGAGAGCCCTGTTATTTGTATTTGCATTTCTTTTACCCTCAACAAGTCTAGACATCTTTTCCTACATATTTGTCACTTGCAATTCTTCCAGAAATAAGTATCCTTATCCTCTCTATTTTCTATTAGAGTCCACCTCCAAGAGTCACTGCAAGTGTTTTCTTCCACCCCTTGCTGTTTTCACATTGTCTGGGCTCTGCAGAGCTGCTGGGCTGGGTATGGGAGACTTTGATCCACAGCCAAGAAGTCTTTGATAACATATTGCCAGGATGATTAGTCAAGTTCCATAAAACATGTTCCAAGAAGGAAAACTGGTTAAGTCTAAAGAAAAGAAAGCCGTAAACCTCTCCTTGGCTGACTACTTCAGAAATAGGTCATCCCTAATGTTATCAGCAGCAGTTTATCTTATAAGAAACAATGATCTATTTTAACTTAATCTTGTTCTTCTACACAGAGAAATCTGGAAAACAGAAAAGGAGCCAAGAAGAGTTGGGAGGAATACCCCCGGAAGCAGGGCACACACACTCACCATGTATACATTTCTGGGCCTCTAGCAGAGGTAGATCACAAAGCCTCATAGACTGTGCTGAGACCCAGCTTGGAAATGCCTTCATCTGAAGGCCAACAAGATAATAGATGAAAATGAACATGTCTAAAATCCACTGGCAAATGTTAGTGCCCTGGCTCCCTGCGCAGAGCTCATCCCACCGGAGGACAAAGGGCAGAGGTAAAACAGAGCCCGAGCTGAGTCTTCAGAGCTCATGACATTGATTCTGCCTCCCAAGGAACCAAGATCATATTGAAAGGCATTGAGACAAGAGTAGTGGCCTCACCCCAGGCCCAGGACTTGTGCAAAAGGGGTCCTGAGTCACATGACGGTCAACATTTCAGTTTCTAAGGCTGGGTATGGTTCTGGCTGGCTGGGACAGAGGGCTTCAGGGATAATGTCAGGCTGTTCGGCTCATCTGCTCAAGAAAGAACAGGGGGACTTTAAAAATTCATGCAAAACTGGAATTAAAAGATAAGTCTTGGGCCAGTGTTGTGGCAAAGCAGGTGAAGCTGCTGCCTGTGACACAGGCATCCCATATGGGTACCAGTTCATGTCCTGCTTGCTCCACTTTTTTTTTTAAAGATTTATTTATTTACTTGAAAGTCAGAATTACACAGACAGAGAAGGAGAAGCAGAGAGAGGGGGTGGGGTGTCCATCCACTGGTTCACTCCTCAATTGGCTGCAATGACCAGAGCTGTGTCAATCCTAAGCCAGGAGCCAGGAACTTCTTCGAGGTCTCCCACGTGGGTGCAGGGGCCCAAGGACTTAGGCCATCTTCTACTGCTTCCCCACACCATAACGGAGAACTGGATTGGAACAGGGCCAGCCAGGACTCGAACCAGCGCCCATATGGGATGCTAGCACTGCAGGTGGCAGCTCTACCCACTATGGCACAGCGCTGGCCTCACTCCACTTTCAATTCAGCTCCCTGCTCATGGACTGAAAAAAGCAGCAGTGGAAGAAGGCCCAGGTGTTTGGGTCCCTGCCACCCACGAGGAAGACCTCCAGACAAAGCTCCTGGCTTCTGACTTCAGCCTGGCCCAGCCCTGGCCATTGCAGCCATCTAGGGAGGGAACCATAGATGCAAGATCTCTCTGTCCCTCCCTCTCTGTCTCTCTCTTTCTCTCTGTAACTCTTTCAAATAAGGGGGGAAAATTGAAATCCACACGTAGTATTTCCATAATACACATTTTCCATGATGTTTTTGAAGAACCTTCATCTGACCAAATCCAAGAAGCAAAGCAGGGCTGATAGCCAGCTCTGGTGGTCTCCAGCATCTGCTCCAAACACCGCTTGTAAAATTAGCTTCATTTATTCAATCCTCTCTGTTCGGATTCAGGAATTTCAGACCGCGGCTGAAGAAAACCAAACCTGGCCATGTGGCAGTCCTGGGCTCCCAGGAGAACTCCCAGCTGAACTCCAAATGGAACCAGGAGACCTTCACAAGGGCTGCCCTATCTCACTTCATTTAGACAAAAGCACAGGAATGAGTGGTCCCACATGACCAAAGATAAGCAGCCAATTAGCCATGCAATGGCATGAATGCCCACTCCATTATATTCATGCAGGTCACATCATGAAGCCCTTGCCAAACCCCAGCAAAGGCAATATTTCACCCAACACCCAAAGGCTGATTCCAAGATTAGTGCACCTAGAAAAGCAGCCTTCTCCACCTTTGAAATTTGAAAGTAGTTTTCCGAACTCTTTAGGTAACCGCTTGGGCCAAACGATAAATAGCTCACATTGGGCCTGAACACCTGGATAAGCATATTTAGGAAAATGGCCTAGGAGTCATTAGTGGTGGTGGCTTTGTGTCAGGAGGTACAGATGCCTTGTGCCATTTGATGCTCAAGATGACTTCTAGAGAGAGAGCTCATTTCTGGGCTCAGTGGATTCCACTGCAGAATTCTGTGATTTTCTACTGTGACTTTAGTAGTTCTTTCTTTACATAAAGATTTATTTTATGTAGTATTTGAAAGGCAGAGTAATAAAGACAGAAGGAGAGACAGAGAGAAACATAGATCTTCTATCTACAGGTTCACTCCCCATATGGCTGCAACTGCTAAACCTGGGGCAGAGTGACAGAGAGAGAGGGAGAGACAAAAATCTTCCATCCACTGGTTCACTCCCCAAGTGGCCACAACAGCCAGGTCTGGGCTAAGCTGCAACCAGGAGCCAGGAATTCCATCTGGGACTTCCACACAGGTGGCAGAGACCCAGACACATGTGCTATCATCTGCTGCCTTCCCAGGCACCTTAGCAGGGAGCTGGCTCTGAAGCAGGGCAGCCGAGACTCTAACTGGCACTGAGATATGAAATGCTGGCGTCGGAGGGGGCGCCCTAACCCACTGCACCACAATACCAACCTCTAGCAGGTCTTCAAAATACCAAGGGGCAAATGTCCGCCTTGAACATCAGCCTGTCATGGGGGTGAATTCCTGGTTAGTTGAACAACTGCCCCCCCCATCAGCTTCCTCCCTGGAGAAAAAAAGCAATCTCATGCTAATGCCTGTCTTTGACAATAAGATGTTTCCCATAAAAGAAAATTCTTTCAACAACTTGGTGAATATTTTACAAGAGTTTTGTGGATTCCCAGCCATCTTTACACAGAAAGCCCGTTACTTCTGATTCAAGGATAAGATCTTAAAGTACTCAGAAACTTCAATAACCGTATTATCATTTAAAACTGTAAAGAAAAATAACCAAGAACCAGGCAGAGATGGTAAACTGTTGGTCCCGAGCACTTGTAACTGCATGAATTTTCAGCAGAGACATGCTCACGGTATATTTTCTCCCATCACCTGGTGAGCCTTCCTAACAACTTCTTTTTTTATCTTGGTGGTTGACATTTGCTGATTAAGGTTGGATGCCTGCAATTGGGCTTTGTTCCTTGCAACTCATCTTAATCAGCAAATTTGCTTCTTTTTTTTTTCCTCTAAAAATGACCTAAAATAAATTAACACCTGAGCCCAAGGGTGGATGAGATTTCCACCTATAAATATTTAAGATTTATTATAACATACTATTTAATACTACATTAGGAAAAATACTCCCATAGATTGTCCAAAATAAAATCTGACTCAGTATTAAGTGTCTACATGGAACTCAATAAATATACGTTCACTAATATCTATTCATCAGGATGACAATAATAACATGCCATTTTCATGCATGTCACTTTAAATGACCTATAAGAATCCCATCGAGGACTGAACAGGGCCTTTGTGAACACACATATGAAGATTCACATCCAGGCTTTGCCGTTTTGCTGTGTGACCTGGGGCGGCTTACTGAAATAGTCTTGAGCCTCAACTTTCT